TTTGCAAAATCCATGTCAATATGGCTTTTAAAGCAAAATGTTAATTATAATCCTACTGGTGGAACTACAGTACTGGCAGCAGTGAAGATTAATTATATTTTAGAACAAAAACCTCTTTTTTATCCAAGATGGCAATTAATTTTTGCTAATTACAAGGCACTACAATAAATAACCTGCCAATAACTGATATCCCTTGTTTGATAAGAAGTTTAACACACATAAGAAGGTATTTGAAGCTAGTGGGATCAGTTAGGTACAGAGGCACTTAACTTTTCTTCTGCAATACTGTAATTCTGATGCATTGGTCACTGATGATCCCCATGATGTGTCACTGCCTCAGGTTAGAAACACCACAAAATAGGAAATAAAATTCTAAAACATAAGTTTGTGTTTTCCTTAAGACTAGAGCCAAATGATAAAATGCATTTTAGGCAAAAGATAAGGCTAATCCTTGGAGGTAAGGTAAGTGACATAGGCATTGTCACATCTTGCATCAGTAGGGAAGCATTATTATTAGTGATGCGTGCCAGTGGAACCTTGGCGGAGGGATCATAAGAACTAGACCCTTAGGTGAGTTAGATTATTGACACACTGTGTGACTCTGGACCTGTTCTTTGGGCTTCAGGTTCCTCCTAATTATGGATATTTATGTTGTAAAATACTAATATGGCTACTTCATTAGACTGTTGTATACAATACATTAAGAAAAAGCTGTTAAGAAAACCACATGGAGATAACTCGAAGAAGTTAGAAATGAAAGAGGTTACAGCTGTGAAAACTGATACTCAAGAGAAGTTAAGGTGACCGAGCTAGCTGGTGACAGAGCTATGACCCAAACTCAGATTTCATTGTTCTTCAACTTTTTGTTCATTTTTTTTTTTTTCTGCTTCAGTATACTTTTCAACAACTTTGGATTCTACAGGATTAAGCATATTATTGTTCAGTAGAACCTCTGTAAGTTAACCACTCAAGGGAATGTAACAAATTGGTCAAGTCAATACACAGAAGTGGTCAACATAAGGAACTTGGTCTTCCGTACTGATATGTATATGTGGTGGATGTGCAGTCAATAAAAATTAGGTCAGCTTAAGGAGGAGGTCAATGTAGGGAGGTGGTCAACTATGCAAGTTCTACTGTATATGGTGTTCATGCATATGTCAATATTAAGTCTTTCTTTGAGAATTTTATCTTAAGTCCTTAAAATAAATCCTATCACCTCTCTTCTTCAGGAATTACTATTTTCTCTTAACAACTGCTTAAACATGGAGGGAATGCTTAAATATCCAATGGTAACTGGATTTGTTACAAATTCAATTGTGTTTCCATACTGCTTCCCATCTAATTTAATAAGAGAAAACATTTTGCAATTATGATTTTCATGAATTTATTCTGCATTTTCCCTAGCATAATTAAAATATTGGTGATTGGGAAAGATGTTACAAAGTGTCTCTACTTTCAAGAAGATTAATAAATTGTGCTAAATATATACCATGGAATATTATTCAGCCATAAAAGATGATTTTTTTTTTTTTTTTATTGAATGGTAACTATGTACCTTAATGCACTTCTGGGGTATAGTGTGGAGTTTTCACATGCAATCCGAAATACTTCCATCAAACTGGTCAACACAGCCTTCATATCATTTGAATTTTTTTTTTTTTTAATGTTTGGGATTCATTGAGGGTACAAAGAATTAGGTAACACTGCATTGGTTAGGTAAAGTCCCTCTTATAATTGTGTCTCACCCCCAAGAGTTGTGCCATACACCGTGACGCCCCATCTCTTTCCCTCCCCCCCTCTCTCTGCTCCCTCATTCCTCCACCCCCACCTTGTATTAGATTATCTACTGCTTTTATATCAGCATTGAGTATATTGCATTCTTGGTTCTCCATAATGATGGAGATTTTTACACCTTTTGTATTAACCTGGATGGGGTGAAGAACATTCTCCTTAGTAAACTATCACAAGAATGGAAAAGCAGGTATCCAATATACTCAATATTAATACGAAACCAGTATCTAATATAGTCAATATTAATATGAAGCCAACAGATAAACAACTATACTCTCCCACGAGAAGAAAAACACAATCTTACTCAAGTGGTGGGAGAGGCGGTGGACGGAGAGGGAAGGAAGGAGGGGAACTGGTGTGCTCTCCCCTAATGGGCACAATGTAGGGTGTACAGCACAGCCCCTGGGTGAAGGGCTCAACTACAACTTCAGTTTTACCTAACAAATGCAAATAAAGTAACCTAATCATTTGTACCCTCATATTAATTAAAATTTTTTTAAAAAGAGGTTCAATAAGCACATTGGTGCCCACACACAATTCCTGGTGCTGTTTGTTTTTCCCCTGTTATCCTCGCCATGAGCGTAGGGTATACATTTGCTCTATTAAGCAAAGATAAAGACAACAGGCATCCCCGTGGCCACTTCAGGGTTTCTGTTACGTTCTTCCTACAGTCTGTCAGATCACTTTGCAAAGTAATATGAAGCAAGTAGCTAGCACAACTAAGCTAGAAACAACAAAAAGGCCCCAATAAAACACTCAACCAAAGCTTAACCACGTTAATGACATAGGTGGAACCCAAAACATGCACGTTAAGTCTTATAAATTGTGCATGAAGTCACCCACAATTTTAATACAGATGGAAAATCTGTTCCTATGTTATCAAGGCTGCCTTCCCAGGAAGACGCCTCAGTGAGTGGTTGTGTGGTTCCAGATGCCAGCGTTTTCTCTCCTGTGCTTAAGCTACAGGATGGCTGACTGCCCTCATAAATACCTGCTGGTCGGGGCTTAATCTAAGATAAAGTGCTGTTCACGGTTGTAATCTAGATTAAAGCTCTCTGTACAGCCCATAAACTTCAATTAAATGCTTCTAACCTTTTGCATAACACTTAAAATGAAAGACTTTTGATTTCTAGGTCAGCTCTAGATTTAGGGTGTATTTGTGGGCACAGAGCTATAAAAAGGCAGGTTTTAGTCTGATTCAAGGGCTTTTACTTTTTTACTGTAAAAATAGCATAGGAATGAAATGCACATAGTTTCCAACTATCATAATAAAGGCACAAGGAGGTATATTTTTTTGTCCTTTGACACACTTTACTGTTAAGATGTGGAAAATAACAGGTTAAGGAAAATAATGACAAAGTGGGCAAAACTACCGAAAAGTGGTAGTATTGAATGACCTAATTCTTAGTGGAAACAGTGCGACGTCGAAGCCAGCAAAGGCAGACTGACAAGTTCTCCAGGCAAGATCAAGCCACATAGATTTTCAACTTGCATCTACTTACTTTCTTTCAATAATTTACCTTGCTTTGCATAATGCAAAAAAGATTTCTTTCCTCTCTTGGTGACTTGATTTAGCTTTTTGTTTATTTTGGAGATAATTTAAGAGACCTGAGACAAGACCTTGCTATTACCCTTTTTTTACATTTTAAAATTGAAAATGTAAACCCTCTATGCTAATGATTCACATACATTACAGTTTTGAAACAAGATTCACAAAGGAACAGTTACTTACTTGATACTACCCAGCCTGAACTAGCATTGTGAGATGTTGATAAATTTAATCAAATTTTTCAGTATGAAAAAATGTTACCTCTTAAATACCTGGTATATTTGGCTGCCCAAAAAGGGGATTATAGCATTTTTCACCATCATAAGCAAATTTACTGTGGGAATTTTATAAAATATACTATGCCAAATATGATGTTGAGGCATGGGGACTGCGAGTCTGGGCTTGCTTAAATGCTAGGGTTCTTCCCAAACACTGGAAATAAATGATTTGGTTGCTTTTGGTGCTTACCAGGAAAGCTTTTAAGCAGAACTTCACTTTCAAATTAATTTTGGACACTAAAAAGGGAGGTAGGACGTGGGCAGAGATATGAAATAAGGTGGTCATCTTACATTTTGGAAGCAATAAAAAGGGACAGATATTTGAACAACTATGGATGCAAACATTTAAACAGGAAAGTGTTAAAAAAAGATTGAATCTGAAGCTTGTGTTACTTAATGTTTTATAAAACATCTGCAAGAGGGTAAATGATGAACTTTCAAGTACGAGGAGGACATAAAACTCCTCTGGGAACCAATAAGAATGAATGTGGCATGTGACATGTGACAAGTAGTGGCCCAGGTTGGCTGTGATAACACAGAGAAGGATTTAAGTGGCATTGTAAATGATTCTCTAAGGACTTTTCAATTCAATGTGCCTCTATAGCCCAAACCACTACCAACATGCTGAACATTGAGCGTGAATTCCTAATGCTGATGATAAGTCACTGGAAAGGCATTCACCACTGGAAAGAGGTACATGGAGAGAGTCCTCATGAATACTTAAGATATATTTGAGGAGCAGCTCTCGTCTTTTAGGAGCAATCATCCCTTCTGGAATATCCGCTTTACTCCAACTGAGAGGACAGAGTTGAAATAAAGTGACACCAAGTGGGCAACACATCACCAGACGTTTCCAACATGCTTAGATACTCCACTTTCAAGGTTCCAGGGCCATGGACACATTTTCTAAAATCCTCACCATGAATTTCACCACACCACCAGCCTCTCATCTTTCGACTATCCGCAGTGGATATCCAGAATTATTAACAAACAACTCTCTACCCTAACTCCTTTTAATTAACCAGTTAATTTATGGGCCTCTTGTTACAATCACCTGTTCATTCATAACACTGAATAGCCATCAGTAAAATAGGTGATCCCAATTTGCTTCCCCTATGAGAACATCAACTGTATTATGGAGTCTTTATTCTAGGGCAGAGATGAGAAGGTAATGAGGGATGTTCTTCGGTCATACGGTGTCAGGGCTACTGTACACATGTGTATGATATATTTGTGTGGAAACGAAAAAGTGAGAATAACCTATGCCTGAATCTTAGGTTAACTATTTTCACAGATGGCTAATATCCCAGCTACAACTGTATTCTCATGCACATTCTTAAACCATGCAAATAAAGGTATGAATAATGTCTGTATTTCCTTACCTTCTATTGCTGAGAGAAGAACCCGGGAATGATCATAAGCAATGACATTTGCATATCTATTCTTTGGTTTGTTTACTTCCAAGTTGGAATGTTCCCATGTGAACTGCTGACCAGGGTCAATTGACTTGAAAAGAAAAACAGCACACACACGCAAAATCAATACTGAAAAACACTGGGTTACAGGCATTTATCACAAGTAACAAACATGATTTAGAAAGAAATTCTGAAGCTATACTTCATCAAGATGATCCGAACTGTGAAACTAAACACTCAGACAACCAGAGTAACATGAAATGATTAATCATAGTAAGAAACAATGATAGTCACCAACATTGATTCAAATGAAAAAAAAAATCAATATAGATGTTCTGTTTAATATTGGAAAGGCAGGTTTTTATTTTTGCTTTTCCATTTCCCTCTCTGCTGCTGGAGTTTACAAGTTATCTCGGGTCAATATGCCTTCCGGTTCTGTGAACATTATTTTGTCTTCATGATTTTTCTCTACCCTTTCCCCTTTGGACGTTAGCTAGGTCTTTGGTCTTTCTCTGGCTACACTGGACACAGGCTTTATTGTTCCTTATTCAGCGACATTCTCACTTCTTAGTGGCAACTTAACATTTTGTCTGGTTTTCCAGACACATTATGATCCACATTTCAAGGCAATTCCTACAATTCAAATAGTTGACAGTAACCGTAAAGAAGGGAAGTCAATTCAATCTAGTAATCATCTTAGTGAGAATATTAACTTGTAACTCAATACAGATGGAACCTGATAGTCTTTATTTTTTCTAGTTTTCATTAATCTTACCCATGTATCATCATGTTTTATTATGTTTACAGTTTGCTTCTTTTTACTTCCTATTTTTTTTCTTTTTTAAACAGAGTCTCACTATGTCGTTCTGGGTAGAGTGCTGTGGGGTCATAACTCACAGCAACCTCAAACGCTTGAGCTTAAGCGATTCTCTTGCCTCAGCCTCCCGAATAGCTGGGACTACAGGAGCCTGCCACAATGCCCAGTTATTTATTTATTTTTTTTTCGGTCGCAATTGTCATAGTTGTTTAGCAGGCCTGGGCCAGGCTCAAACCCACCAGCCTTGGCATATGTGGCTAGTGCCCTACTCACTGAGCTATGAGCACCGAGCCATTTTTACTTCCTATTTTAATCTTATTTTTGCTGATGTTCATGTCTTTCTCTGATGCCTTAATTGAACTAAAATTATTAAACAATCTAAAAGAAATATTTCACAGAAATAAAATATCTAATTCTTCTATAGTTAGGTAGAACCATTATTTCAAGACTGAGTTTGGGTTGGATTATAAAATGCTAGGGAACTTTTTAATTTCCTATAATGTCATGGAATTCAAAACACCTTTTTCTTCCTCACAGGATACTGACACCTTTTTAAAGTTTATAATTTCATGGCATATGGAAACATGAGTTCAGTAATCATATAAACGTGATTTTAAATGATCAAATCAAGTTTTCAAAAATAATGAGAAAGTGGGTTTCCATCCAGGTGCAATTCTTTAAAAAGTAAAGATACTACGTGTGTTAATAGAATTTTTAACAGTTATTTTGATGCGGAGTATTTTCCATGCCTCTATGTGTGTATGTGGAGGGTGAAAGTGAAGCATATCCAAGAGCTATCATCATATTAAAGATGTGTCCACATTCTGTGAAGAGGCACAGTTGAGCACCACAGCAAGACTCACATGTGTAGAGTCAAGACCCTTACTAGTCTTGAGTAACCTTTAAATATATAACAATTCTCAGCAATATAGATTGTAGCCTCTAATTTACTAAGTATTATAAACTGTTCCCCTTTTTTCGCCTGTATTAATTTATATATGAAATACTGACTCAATGAACAGTATTCAGGAACATGCCCATGCCTTAGATTGTAAAGAATGCTGTGATTAAGGGGCTCTCTAGTTTGTTTCTCAAGGGAAACTTATCATTTCTCCTGAAAAATATAATTCTCTCCAAGTATTCCATGAGCTGAAAGAACGGAAGCATTCAGATGCCCAGGTGGAAGTCTGCCAGTCAGCCTTGAACTTGTCCACACAGAACAAGTTCATTCAGTGATCGAGACTTGTCCAAATAGTCCCTCAGATTGGTCCCAAATCTACAATCCAATTGCCACTCCCTAAATCCAGACCTTTAGTTTCTGTTGTCTAACTGAAATCTCTCCTCTAATCTCTCACTCCATTCTCCATTCTGCTTCCAGCGTTGTCTTTCTAAAGTACAGCCCTGGACAGGTCAGGGCCCTGTGTAAGAATTTCCACTGGCTCTGTGTGAACTACAGCCTAAATTCTAAACTCCTTAGCCACAGTCCTACCTATGCAGCTTCATTCACTTTGCCTTATACTTGGCTCAGTAAATGGTTCAACAGATGCTTTTTAAATAAACGAAAAATTGTTTTTGAGAAAATTTCTTAAGGAGAAATCATGGGAGTGATGGTTCTGCATTGCTTGGGAGTCAGAGAACAAACTATGGAAACTTCGATGTACAGTGTAACAAAATTTTAATACATAATGCCCGTGAGGGTATGGCTGAGTCATTAAGTACATGATCATGAAATTACAATTGCCTCTGACATTTACTTTACACTGATGAACATCATTGGGTACTTCATTGATTATATATCATCTTCTCAAATATCCAAGTGATCCTAAGGTCGGTGACATACACACAGTGCTTTTGGGGGAATATATCACTATTTCTGACTCCCGTTACTCAGACTAGGATTACCAGCAGATGTTTAATTAAGACGGTGTGAATTTCATTATAGTAATGAAATTTCACCTACCAACTAGAAGACATTGTTAACTTGTTTCCATTTCCACCCTTTACACATGTCCTCAGCCCTCTGCATGATTTATTTGATACCTACATGGAAGATTATAAAAACTGGTAATAGAAACATGAGTTGTGTTAATAAGCTGAGGTTGAAAGTGTGGCCCATAAGGAGAACTATAAGTAACAAAGTAAGTATAATGGCATCTGCTGCGTCATTGCGCTTTTACATCCACTATCCTGTTTAATTTCTGCAATTGTTATAAGGTAGATACTATGATTATTATTATTCCATTTGGAAGGAGAGGAATTTGAAGTAAAGAACAGTTAATTCAGTAACTCTTCCTGGCGTCTTCTCCGAGGTAGTCACTGTGTTACTTGGTGTTTTAAAGAATTTGGCTCAGTTCCCAAATCTGGACCCACACAGTTACCCTCAAACCTCGGTCTGTATCATTGCTCAGCTGATAACATGAGCCTGTAATAACTAAGGCACGATGCTCCCCCACTATCCAAAAAGCCACCGCCATGTGACGAAGCCCAGCACACAGAGCACACCTAAACAAGACTCCTCTTTATCTTGCCAGTCCGAATGATCCTTCTTCCCAACTTATCATCCTGTGTCATTCTGGGGCAATTACATAAGAAATCAAGTTTTAAAAATGAGGTTGGCTTCACATGGATGACAAAACAGATGGGATGTAGCACTCCTTGGTACTCGTTTTACAGGGATCAAATGAACATTGATTAAATAATACTGACTTGTCTTTGTGCGACGTAGCACTCATCCATCTGTATCTACCTGTCTCACTGGATGTCTAAAAATACACAACACAGGTTATTATTTTTGGTGCTAGTCGGAGTGCTGAGAGCAGTAACCTCAGTGGAGAAGAATAACCATGGAAAGTGGGGGAGGCTTGCTAAGATCTTTTATATTTTGAAAAACATAAAACTGGTTGAAGAAAATCTAATTTTAACCATTCATGTTTATAAGGGAAGGATGTTAATATGAATAAGACCCTAACTGGTGACCATGACTTTGCCTCTGTGTTGTCTGGCTTCTCTTAGGGCTTCTTCTTAAAGAAGAGTGAACATGAAGAAAGAAAGAGCAATGCAAATCTCGAGGGACACAAAAGTCCATGTCTACTCCAACCTGAAAATTTGGGTTGGTCCACGCCAATTTATCTTTCTATGATAAAGTTGAGCTGAGGTCATCCCAGTATTATTCAAAACTATTGGAAAGAAGCCTCACCTTTGTACCTAATGTATTCAATTCCTTCCCTGGGCTTCCTGTTGGTATTTGGTTTTCCTGAGCTTGACTCCCAATTATGTCTCAGTCCTTCTGACTCTGCCTACCCAAATAACTTCTGTAGGATACCCTCTTCTTCCCAGCAATCCCTCTACAGTTCTTGGGCTAGAATGTTGGCCAGGTTTTCTTCAGCATCCCTTGCGAAGAATTTTGTAATTATGAAATGAAGCGAATAGCTAGATTTACTCAACTGAAAGTTGATTCATAGACTTTGCCACAAACATGAAGTTTGCACATTACATTATCACAGAACTTACAAACAAGAATGCTACTTCACCATATTCACTTTTGTTTTTACAGCCAATCAAAAACTCCTTGATGCTGGATGGACCCTACGTAGCATCTGAAACTTTACCAATACGCCAAACCATTTTTTCACTGCTTACCTGCCTGCGCACTTGGCAATCAGTCCCCACCATAGCTTCTGACCACATCATTTTAAAGCCAACAACAGATCTGCAACTCAATGAATATGCTTCACTGAGAAAACGGTGACTAAATAGAGGGCAAATCCCTCTTGTGAGGGTTTCACAGGAGAAGTGGAATGCCTCAAGTAGACATTTGCTAATATCCAATACTCTGCATTCAGTAGTCTTTAAGCTGATAGTCTGAAGATTCTATCCTTTTATTCCTTTCATCAATTAGAAATTTGCCTTAAACTATATAACTGGAAAATAACCTGTATAATATAATTATACAGTTTATAATTATAATTATAATTATAACTATAATATAAACATTTATATTCAATAGTTATAACAACCAACACTTAGATAATAATTACTATGTTTTAGTTGTTATATATACTATGTACTAACTCACGTGTCATCACAAAGACCCTACAAATACATTATTATCACAATTCTGTAGATGAGAAAACTGAGGTGTAGAGAAGTTAAATAATTTTTCTCAGGGTCAAACAGCTAGCAGGTGGAGAAGTGAGGCTTGGGTTCCAGAAATTCTGGCCCTGGAGACTGATGGCCCCGTCAGTCATGCTATGCTTCCTCTCTAGGTAAGCCAC